CTCCTTGCCGGAGACCTCGCCCACACTGCGTTGGACGGGGGAGGTTGGCGATGCGTCGCGCTTCCGGGTGTGGGGTGCTCGTGCCCTTGTCCGCGATACGTCCGCGGACAAGCTCTCCTCCCGCACGCTTCCCTGTGTCTTCCTTGGCTTTGTCCCTGACGCGCCGGGCTGGCAGTTTTACCACCCCACCTCGCGCCGGGTCTTCGCCTCTCAGGACGTCACCTTTGACGAGTCGGTCCCTTTTTACCGTCTCTTCCCCTACCGCACTGCCCCCCTCCCTCCCCCGCCGCTTTTCCTTGCTCCTGGTCCCCCTCCGGTAGACCCCCTTCCCCCTCAGGGTCCTGCTCCTTCAGGTGTCTCTCAGGTAGACCCTCCTCCCGTCGCTGAGCCTGTCGAGGTCACAGGTGACTCAGGTGCTGCTGCAGGTGGTACTGCTGGGAGTGCTGAGCCTGGGGGTGCTGAGCCTGCGGGTGCTGGGCCTGGGAGTGCTGGGACTGCGGGTGCTGGAGCTGGGGGTGCTGAGCCTGGGGGTGCTGCGACTGGGGGTGCTGAGCCTGCGTGTGCGGAGTCTGGGGGTACTGAGCCTGGGGGTGCTGCTACTGAGCCTACGGAGCCTCGGGTTGCTGCGTCTGGGGGTGCTCCGGTTCGGGGTGCTGAGCAGTCTCTCACACCGCAGCAGCTTCGTGACTGGTACGTCCGGCGCTTTCGCCGTCCTAGTGGCTCGGCTGGAGTTGGGGGTGCTGGAGCTGCTCGTCCTGGGGGTGCTCGTACTGGGGGTACTGGAGCTGCCGGGACTGGTTGTTCTGGGAGCACTACGACTGGAGCTGCTGGAGCTGGGGCCTCTGGAGCTGGAGCTGGAGCTAGCGGAGTTGGAGCTGCCGACTCTGGGGGTGCTCTTCCTAGCGGTGCTGCGGACCCTGGGGGTGGCGCTGCTGCTGGTGCTGCGGACCCACCTGGTGGAGCTGCTGCTGGAGCTGGGGACCCGAGCGGTGGCGCTGCTGCTGGTGCTGGGGACTCGGACGCTGGGGCTCCTGCTGGTACTGAGGACCCGGCCGCTGGAGTCTCTTCTGCTTCTGGAGACGCTGCGCGGCCGCGACCGTACTTCGTACCGCTCCTTCAGCAGGTTCTTGGGCAGGCTCCTCCTCCTTGTCCTCCTCCCTCCGTAGAGTGTCCTCCGCCTGTCCAGCCGCAGTCACAGTTACCGCCTACCTCACCTCTCCCTGCTCCCTCTCCTTACACTGGTCCCACAGGAGGTCTTACAGAGCGTCGTGAGCCTGAGTCTCGTCCTGCGTCGCCTGTTCGTCCTGCTCGCACTGGTAGTCGTGTCCGTCGTGAGCGTCCTCCTCCTGTCCCAGGCACTCACTACATGACTCTGCGTCCCTCTACTGCTCCTCGGCGTGTCCCTCTACCGTCTCCTCCTGCGTCCTCTTTGCCTGCCGTTCCGGACCCTGAGTCTGACCGGTATCGCGCTGAGCACCCTACTGTCACGCGTCTCCTAGCTACTGTTGTCACTGACCCTACCTTTGAGTCCTCGGCTGCGTCTGCTCTGGTCGCTGAGTTGGTTGACTTTGCTGCTGCCTGTCGTCTAGACTACGCTGCTCGCCTTGTTGCTGAGTCTGAGTCTGCGTCTGTCTGTCCTCCGTCCGTCGGGGGTGAGTGTGCTCTTGGCACGGACGTCCTTGAGGACAGGCAGGAGGACTTTGACTCTCTTGCGGCTGCTGTACCTCATCTCGTGGCCTGGTTGCTTGCCCCTGAGGGAGACCCGGATGCACTAGACATCCCCACTCCGCGCACTTACGCAGAGGCGATCTCGGGTCCCTACTCCTCTCAGTGGCAGACAGCCATGGACGCAGAGATGGCATCCTGGAAGTCCACAGGCACCTACGTCGACGAGGTTCCCCCTCCTGGGGCGAACATCGTCGACGGCATGTGGATTTTCAGGGTGAAGCGGCCGCCAGGTTCTCCGCCTGTCTTCAAGGCTCGTTACGTTGCTAGAGGCTTCAGTCAGCGTCAGGGGGTCGACTTCTTCCAGACCTTCTCCCCCACCCCGAAGATGACCACTCTTCGGGTTCTGCTGCACGTTGCTGCTCAGCGTGACTACGAGCTTCACTCTCTTGACTTCAGCACAGCGTTCCTGCAGGGCAGCCTGCACGAGGAGATCTGGCTGCGCCGCCCACCTGGCTTTACTGGGTCGTTTCCTCCTGGTACCCAGTGGAGCCTCCGCCGGCCAGTCTACGGTCTCCGCCAGGCGCCACGTGAGTGGCACGACACACTGAAGACTACACTTGCGGCTCTTGGGTTCGCGCCGTCTACTGCTGACCCGTCGCTGTTTCTGCGCACAGACACGTCGCTGCCGCCGTTCTACATTCTCGTGTACGTCGACGACTTGGTCTTTGCTACTGCTGACACTGAGGCACTCGCTCGTGTGAAGTCGGAGCTGCAAAAGAGACACACCTGCACTGACCTGGGTGAACTGCGTAGCTACCTTGGCTTGCAGATCACCCGGGACAGAGCTCGCCGCACCATCACCCTGACTCAGTCACACATGGTGCAGCAGGTCCTTCAGCGCTTCGGCTTCCAGTTCTCCTCACCTCAGGCCACACCTCTGGCTACCAGCCACTCGCTCTCAGCTCCACCTTCGGACGAGTCCGTAGAGCCGAGTGGCCCGTACCCAGAGCTTGTAGGCTGCCTCATGTACCTGATGACTTGCACGCGACCTGACCTCGCGTACCCTCTTAGCATCCTTGCTCGTTACGTTGCGCCTGGGAGACACAGGCGAGAGCACTGGGAGGCTGCTAAGAGGGTGCTGCGTTACTTGTGCAGTACATCAGGCATGGGGCTGGTGCTTGGAGGACGCGACAGAGTTGTCCTCACTGGTCACTCGGACGCTTCTTGGGTGGACGACCTGGCTACACAGCGGTCGTCACAGGGTTACACCTTCAGCCTTGGCTCTGGTTCTGTCTCGTGGCGGTCCACCCGCTCTTCCTCTGTTCTCGGCTCTAGTTGTGAGGCTGAGATCTACGCCACAGCCATGGCTGCACAGGAGTTACGCTGGCTCACCTACCTGCTGACTGACTTGGGAGAGCGGCCTAGTTCTCCTCCAGTTCTGTACGGTGACAACAAGGCGGCTCTTGCCTTGTGTCAGGAGCACAGACTGGAGCACAGGACGAAGCACATTGCTCTTCGCTACTTTCTTGCTCGAGAGCTTCAGCAGCGCGGTCAGCTTCGGCTTGTGTACGTGGACTCGAAGGCCAACACTGCTGATATCTTCACCAAGGCGCTCCCGCCTAGTGATCATCAGCGGCACTGTACTTCTTTAGGCCTTGTGTCCACGTTTCCTCACTTGCTCACTGCTTGACATTCTTTGTACTGTACTTTATATATATCTTGTTGCTTGCTTGCTAGGTTTTGATCACTGTGTTGCTTGTCTTGTACTATATCTAGCACTGCATGTGAACTGGCCTTGTGGCCTTTGCTTGTGCTCGGAGTGTGGTGACGTTGTGATCCACCCTGGGCTTGCGTTGCTTTGCTGGACTGGTCTTGTGACCCTTTGTTCTCCCCCACTTTGCCTATGGGGGTGTGTTAAATTGTAATGTGTTATATGTTGGTAGGCTGTAGTGGGGTAGCCAATATGGGGTACAACCTCAACTAGGGTTTCATATTTGTACCCAAACTTCTGCTAGTTCATTCATTCTTGCCTAGTTATTCTGAAACGTACGATTACAACTTACAAGTAACCGAGTGTAAACTATAATCCCTTCCAGACGCATTGGCAAGATTTCTGTAAAGAGCAAGCCCTCAGATTCGTTTTAGGCCTGTCTGATTCATCAGACTAGTACAAAAATTCAGTATGAAAATCTCAGACTTGGTATAAAAAAAAGGCTGAAATGTCAGAGTGTCTCAAAATAATTGTCTGATTATTCAAAATCAATGTATTCAATGTTTCATCGGAAGTGTATTCAATGTTTCATTCATCTGCTACCGAAACATGCAACACATGGTCAGGGCGAATCTTGTGGTGCGAAAAGGCGAATGTGCAATGTCAGGGCGATTTTGCTGTGATTGGGCGAAAATTGTGGTGCTCTGACAACGCAAATCTGTTGTGTCAGGGCGATTTTGCTATGATTGTTCGAAAATCTTGTGATGTAAGGCTCGGATTTGCTGTGTCAAGGCGATTTTGCTTTGGCAGTGCGAATCTGCTGTGACCCGTAAGTCCGAGTCACTAGTCAAAGACGCGTTTGTACTCTGAATGATCAGAGTACACTCTCAGAAAACTCTGAACTCTCAGAGTTAGCCTTAAAAAAAAGTCTAAAAATTACAGAGTTGAGGCCCAAAAAAGTCTGATTTTATCAGAGTACACAGGAAAAAAAATCTGAAATATCAGAGAAAAAAGCCCAAATCAGAGAAAAAAGTCTGACTTCTGAGGGCCTGGTAAAGAGGGTGGGAAAAAAAATCGCTACTCTGAGCCACAAATGCTTACCTAAAATACAACTCTGATACCGTCATCGCACGGATATGAAACATATATGTCTTATCTCGTACACGGGCAAAAATGCTTGAGTTATCTTGTAAACGGGATGGTTTAGGGTGTCTTATAAGTCTTATAAATGGACAAAGAACCGTTTAGAAGATACCCCCTCGCTATACATTTGCCCCTAACTCCTACACTTTCTTAACCCGTACACACAAATAGGTGTCTTATAATGAGGCTAGCCTGTTTATAAGAGACACCCGTATAATAGACAACCCCTGTCTACTATTCAACACTGTCTTATATCCGGGCGATGACGGTATTATATCAATCAGAGTAGTTTACAGGTGGAAACAAACCATGGTTGGGCTTTCAGCACGAGGCTGAAGAGCATTGTTTTGCAGGCCGAGACCACGCCTGGCCCATGCTTCTGGAGCCACGGTGGCCTGGCAGCAGCACACGCAAAGGTCGAGCGCTACAAGGGTGCCAGATAAACAAGGCTCCAATGGGGGGGGCACAAGTGATGCTTCTAACTTAAGGATGCTGCGGCTGAGGCAGCGGCAGAGGTGGGCGAGTGAGCATGCGAGTGCAGGGGCAGGTCAACGTATTGACCAGACTTGGAGCGATAGAGGGAGTGGAAGAGGGGGCGGAGAGATGGTATTCTTAGGGCGTCCAGGTACGAGTCGCACTGGAAGCACCACACAGACGAATCCCTGCATGCACCACATGGGCTCCAGGGAGAGAGAGAATGGATGACAAAAAGGCATCGCTTGCCAAAGAGAGGAGGAAGAAAGCGGGGAGAGAGGGGGATGACAGACACAACATTTCGCACAGGCAGCTTACGTAGTCACAATTAATAATGTGTGTGCCCGGGGCAGCTCAACCCCATGCAGGTGCAAATGTGTGAGTGTGCACCTGAAGCCAGCAGCAAGAGGGTGGCCTGTGGCATGGAAGTGCTTGACCATGTGTGCGCCCTCTGCCCGCCCACACGCCACCTCGCCACACGACAGGCACACCCAGTTGTCCACTGCGCACCCGCACCTGCGCACCATGGGGCACAACAGCAGGGGAAACCAGCGACTTGCATGGTGCGGATGTGTGGCGGGGATGTGGGCGGTGGGGAGTGTGTGTAGAGTGCGTGACCGTGTGCCATGGTCCTGTCACTTCCCACTGTGCTGCCACTGCCCACTGTGCTGCTGCACCCAGCTTTCCATATTTTCCGGCATCAGCCGACACCCTTTCCTGCCCTTTGCCGGACCACGCACCCTGCCACCCATCCTGCAAGGATCCTTCAGTGGTCAGCCCGGTCCCATCCTAGTCCCTCATGTATGGAAGAAGCAGCAAACCTCGGGAGAAGGGCGTCGACGAGAGGTGCAGAGCAGAGTGAAGGAGGGCAGGGAGAGCCGGGTTGGATGGATCGACACAAGGCATGAGAGGCGGTGGGTGGATGCGTACAGCTTGCAGAGCGCGTGGGAGGAGGGCAGGTCTTGCAGGGTGGTGATGGCGTGTATGTGCGCACAGCTCGCCCTGGCCTCCACCCACACTGGCCCCTGCACGCTCACACCCCGGAGAGGCAGCGGGCAAGGGAGAAGGATGGGGTGAAGAGGAGGGGGGTGTGGGGGGGGAGGGGGGGAAGAGGGGGGTTGCTGGGGGCGAGGGGAGTAGAGCGTTTGTGTGTGCGTGGGGGGGAGGGGGGGAGGAGCGGGGAGAAAGAGAGAGAGAGAGAGAGAGAGAGAGAGAGAGAGAGAGAGAGAGAGAGAGAGAGAGAGAGAGAGAGAGAGAGAGAGAGAGATAGGTCTGTGACGCTCCAGCGCAGTCGGCGATCTCCCTCCTCTCAAAGTCTAACCGGGCAGCAGAGGCGGCCTTCCCACAGACGGCAGCTGATCCGTGGGCGCCTCGCCTGGGGACCTCTGGCAGACTCTGGAGGATGAGTACGAGGAGCGGCATGCCCCAGCCTAAGGGGCAGGGGAGGGGGGGGAAGGTGGGGTGGGACAGAGGGGTGATGGCTTACGGCGGATAAGTTGAATGGATGTGACCTTGAAAGGGGGAGGGTACCAGGAAGGGGTGTGATGGGGGGTTGTCTAGGGTGGGGGTGTTTCTCTTAGCGGACAGAGAGAAGGGGCAGTGACAGAGATAGGGGGGGCACGGTGGGGTCGTGACACATAGCAGGAGGCGTGTGAATCAGGGATCTGCTGCTGAATCTGCCGGCTCCGGTTTTGAAGGGTTGTTCTCTCACGGCACACCTGCATCGCCTGCTTGTTTGCTCTCTATGTGCACCTGTCTAGCTTGAGATGCATTGCTAGTTTTGGGTTTTGAGAATCTGGCCATCCATCTTTGCATGTACCCTGCTAGGGGGAGGGAGGGAGGGAGGGAGGGAGGGAGGGAGGGAGGGAGGGAGGGAGGGAGGGAGGGGGTGGGAGGGGAGGGGGGGGGGAGGGGGGGGGGAGGGATGGGGAGGGAGGGAGGGAGGGAGGGAGGGGGGGGAGGGAGGGAGGGAGGGGGGGAGGGGAGGGGGAGGGAGGGAGGGAGGGAGGGAGGGAGGGATGGAGGAGGGAGGGGGGGGGGGGGGGGGAGGGAGGGGGGGAGGGGGGCGGGGGGGGGGGAGGGGGGAGGGAGGGAGGGAGGGAGGGAGGGGAGGGAGGGGAGGGGAGGGAGGGAGGGAGGGAGGGAGGGAGGGGGAGGGGAGGGGGGGGGGAGGGGGGGGGAGGAGGGAGGGAGGAGGGAGGAGGGAGGGAGGGAGGGGGAGGGAGGGGGGGGGGGGGGGGGGAGGGAGGGAGGGAGGGAGGGAGGGAGGGAGGGAGGGAGGAGGGAGGGAGGGGAGGGAGGGAGGGAGGGGGGGGGGTGGGAGGGAGGGAGGGGGGGGGGGGGAGGGAGGGAGGGAGGGAGGGAGGGGGGAGGGAGGGAGGGAGGAGAGAGAGAGTGAGAGAGAGAGAGAGAGAGAGAGAGAGAGAGAGAGAGAGAGAGAGAGAGAGAGAGAGAGGAGCGAGAGGAGAGAGAGAGAGCGAGAGAGAGCGAGAGAAGAGGAGAGAGAGAGCGAGAGAGGAGAGAGAGAGAGAGAGAGAGAGAGAGACCAATTACGAGTCACGCAGCATCGCGCGCAACACGGATACGAATAAGGGAAAAAAGGGGCGGGGAGCGAGGGAGGGTGGAACGGCAGCGAGCATGGGCGGAGGGCAGTAGTGGAGAGCGTTGGAAGCGATTCGATGACGCAGCGACTGGACCATGCGCATGTGCTGCTCATCGCGCGGCCGCCCACCTGTCCGCCGCTGCGTGCTTCACCGTTAACGCGCGGATACGGATCGCCGCTTCTTCCGCCAACGCCACGTGCCAGTTCCGCCTTGCCAGCGCCATCGCGCTCACCTCTAGCGGAGTGCCGCTCGCCGCCTGTTGCACACCGCCCTCGCCACTCGCCGCGTCCGCCTTGCCACCCTCCGACTCGCCTGCGCCCAGACCGATGCGATCGTTGCGCACGCTGACGCCGCCGTCCATCGCCATGCGAGGCGAGCGAGCAGCGGCACGCGGGCAGGCGACGAAGGCTCCTGACGAAAGAATGCGAACTTTGTGGGCAGGAGAGAGTGAGGTGCGACCGCACTAGATGAGGACGTGTGCAGCTGCGCGCGTGGGTCGATAAGCCCAAGGCGAGCCCAAGTGGACAAGTGAAGGGGCACGCGGTTTTTTTAGAGCGAGTGTAGCACGAGACGGGTGATCGCTGTTGGGTACCTGGACGCTAAGTCGAACACACCAGCTGGGTGGAGAGGAGAAAGGCGAACCCAGGAGAAGAGAGGCTTGAGCGAGGGATGAGCGGAAGTGCCGCAAAGGGACAGGGAAGGAAGCCGTTTGGGTTCGGATTTCACGTTTTCGGCAGTGGTTTGGGACAGGAGATCCGAAGGGCTCGTATAAGGCAGGACACACAAATGTTTCTCCTTGAGAACGAAATCACGATCGTTCAGTTTCCTGCCTAGTAGCCCCAATCTCAACCATACAAAAACACAGAAGCGGAAGTGGTCTCTCTCTGTTGTGAAGAACCTAGGTCCGGCACAAACTGGCCCGTCCCCCCTTTCCAGCCGACCCTTGTTGCGAAGTATTGCGTGAACACGGAAAGCAACCTAGCCCGAAAATAGCGGAAGGGACTTGTTGGTGGGCTGCGTGAGGGCTCATCTAAAATGCCATAAGGGCTCCATCATGATCGCTGTACTACAGCTGTACATACGTGAACTGAAATAAACGTTGTGTCCTCCCTAACGCGTACAAACAGCACACCAGGAAACATGAGGTGATGAGGCATGGTGATTGGTTGGCCTTTCAGGCTTGGCCAAGTCACAGCACCAGCACGGCTGCAGTCCACCCTGAATGGCAGCCAAATGAGAAAGGCTTCCCGCCAGCACTTCCAAATAAGCTGTCACCCAGCAGCACAGCACACCAGAGTGCTTCATGCTATTGGATGGGGGTACAGTACACTTCGCAGCGCGTGGAGCTTCCGGGGTCGCCAGCCTCCCAACGTTACAATAACGTTGGGGACATTAGGGCGTGTCTAGAGTGCACATAGGACCACAACATTCGATTTCGTCGACGAAACCCGACATCCGATTTTAGGGTTTTGCACTTCGGCAACCCCACGAAAAAAAAATAATAACACGTGCCATTTTTGGAACTATTTCACATGCCCGTAAGTTTCCAGCGCTGTATGGAAGACAGACAGCTACGTGCTTGTGCTTTCTGTGTTGTAGGGCATGCCAAAATTGAGGTTTGACAGCGTGGATGTAGAGTCAATTGTCGCTACTTTGGTGCGCTGGTAAAAAACATTCCAGACATCTGCATTGGTGGGGAATCCGTACATGTGCTACAAAATCTAGATCTGCGATGGGCTGATGTGACGCCGAAACCTTTTTTAACCCAAAATCGCTACAGCGACTCGTCATCTGCCTGAATATATTGTTCGACATCCCCCTACAAATAAGAGTTTCGTCGGGTTTCGTCGGGCTGCATGTCGGGCACTAAACAGCGTGGGACCCAATGTATTGTTTCGTCGACGAAACCCGATGAAACTCGACGTTGCACTTCAGACACGCCCTTAACAGAGAAGTGGCCAAATTAGGGCCGCGTGAGTTGCACCCCTGGTGCGTAGGTCCTAACCAGTGTACTGTTGGAAACATATACACAAGATGCCCAACCCCTGCACGCGAAATTGCCTCGTACCTTCCAGAAACCTTGCACACGAAGGTTTTTTCCCGGGCAGTTGCACCCACGTTACAAGCACGTCAACCAATACGAACCACAGAAACAGAAGAGACCGAAGTCAAACAGTCAACGGTGAGTTACAAAATTTTGCTATAAGCCCTTTTTGCCCGATGCGAATTGACGAAACCTCCACGAAATGCATGAATCACTTAAGCGCCCCCTTCACAAGGCAACCTTGGGTTAGTCAAACGGACATCGTGTGTAGTTCGCGCTTCTGATGTGTCGAGCACCATGACAAGGGCGAAGTAGACTCACTGCGAAACAACACCGAGCCAACCAAGCTACAGCGAAGCAGTTGACAAAAGGGACAACAGCAAGAGGTTGAAGCGAAGGTCAAAGGTCAGCGACCTTTGACTCCACAAAAACAGCACGACATCAAGGTCAAGTAAATGACTCGCTATTGAGCAATTACCTGAGTCGTCGCTGTACCAAACTGCAACAGCAGTTGCAATTGTAGTTAGCGCGGAGAATATTATTCTACGGGAGAGCTTGACTAGCGTGGGACACACGGTCAGAGTTTTGGAAGTGATTCTCAGTAGTGAACTTAGTTGCCTTGGTAGAATTCAAGCATAGTTCCACTAGCAGAAATTGATTGAACAAGATTATGGTACAAGCAAGGAGAACCAAATAGCAAAGACAACGAACCCTGTAGAAACGTTCCTCGACAAGCACCTGAATCTGTCGAGTCAGCAACGGCAGGTGAAACGACAAACACATGCAGATTTCACATGAGCTAGTAGTTGCTCAGGTTTACAACGTTCATAGTTGTGCACTTTTTCACTGTTAGCAGAAACGTGTTTCATGTTCAGTTTCCTTACTGAATCGAATTCTCCTGGGGAGTACAATTTCCGAAATTACCTGATTGGTCGAAATTTGCTGTTTCGTGATTGGGCGAAATTCGCGCACATTGCGAATTTCGGAGCTAAGTAATCCTGGTCGACAAGAATCGCCCTGCTCGACGAATGACCCCTCGAATTAAATTCTGTCGACCAGCAATCCGTCGAAACACCAATTCTGCCAATTCCGTCCATCAGAAAGGCTCGTCTTCGACGCCGTTTTACTCCCGTCGACGAGCTCCTCCTATACGAAGACCCGGATCGAGCAGAGGAAACACTTCTGCCTCGACCAATTAATCTTGTCGACAAACGACTCATCGCACACGGATAAAAGTCCCCGAAGTCGTCGATGATCACGAAACGAGCACCGTTCTGTTCCGAAATGCCTGGTCGACTTCGCCCAAGCGAGGGCGGGGCCTTTTCTCTTCGACAGTTAGTAGAACCTTTCATATTATCTATAATCATATAAAAAGTCTCATGTCCCTATGCTATAACCAACCTCATCTTGTTCTCACATACCAGAACAAGGTGGTTCAATCAAGTTTCATTAAAACGCTTTTGCTGATACATTGTCAGCCTGTGCCTTAGTCCTTGAAACGATCCTAAGGGCTTTTCAGCCCAACATGGTATGAGAGCTTGCAAGGACAAGGCTCAACTATCTCCACTTCCTACAACAACGCAAGACATGGCAACGCCGAAGGAAAGGATCTCGTCCACTGGATCTCCTGCCACTACTCCTACTCCACCTCCAGCCTCTGGACTACAGACAGAAGGAGGCACAATTCAAAGACCAGCTAGAGAATCTACTGAAGCGCATGTGAATCAGGCAACCGGCTTCGACCCAAGCATGATGGAGAAATTCTTCTCCTTCATGTCGTTCTACGAACAATAACAAGCGGCACCTACGCAGTCAAACAACAACGACAAAAACAACAGAGTTACTTCCATGAGCCTTGATGACTCCTCCTTTGCTTGTGGAAATCAGCAACCTACCTTCGCACCATTTGAGCCTCAACGCGGCTCTATCATCTTCATGCCAAGACACTGGATGCACTTCAGCTGCAATCACAATTCACACACGTGCTAAAACTGCAAACGACAACACCATTCGACGGGAAGGACTTCTATACCTCGTCCTTCGAATTTGAGCTAATGATAGAGGGAGCCCAAATCCTCAGCTTCTTTGACGGTTCCTTGCGAACACACGGGACATAGTACGACAAGCAGCAGTACACGTATCAGTCACTAATGGTATACACCATCCTCATGCGAAACATCTCGGCAAGCGAGCAGCAGAAGATTCGAACTTATTGCGGATACGGTAACCCCGCCGAGCTCACGTACAACCATCTGAAGAACCTGTATCAAGCAAACGGCAGCGTAAACCAGAGTCGACTCATGGCGCAATTGACAACAGTCCAAACATCAGTCGCTCCAACCTGGCGAAAAGGGGATGGCCTACATCAGTCGCTGTCGCGGTCTACGCGACAGACTCCTTTGGTGCGGAGGAGCACTATCCGAAGACGCCTTCGTCACCGTCGTCCTCTCGGGCCTCGGCCCTCAATGTCGGTCCACCCTGGCCATTCTCCGGGCCCACGGAAGACCCTCCGAAGCGAGCCTCTGCGCAAAAATTCATGCCGAGCAACAAGATATGGACCTGCAAGAAGAACGACACAAGAAAAGGAGATGAGTACCAGAGTTTGCTTTTTCACACACTCAGCGGCGCCACAACAACAACAACCGACAACACGAGCACCAGGCACGAAGATACGTTCCACCATTCTGCCACCTCTGTCGAACGTCTGGACACTCCCGCGTCAACTGTCCAAATCATCACTATTAACACCACCACCACGTCAGCTCCAGCCTTCAAGCAGTCAAGTGACCTTAACTCAACCACAACCTTCAAACCAGACGCAATCTTCAACTTCAACGTCGCAACTTGCACGAGGAACAAGAAAAATCGTTTGCTGCATGACAAGAACAAACTCCCGCGCCACTGAATTGCCACCGACTTACTCACCAGAAAAACTGCTCAACGAACGCACTCCTCGTCGCGACTCGCTGGAACCAAATCCGACGTACGCCGCCATCGCTCAGAACGAGCCGTTTGGACAAGACACTTGGTTCTTAGACAGCTGCTGCGGACAACACATGTGGTCTTCAA